CCCCCCCCCTTCTTCCACTTTGCACCTTCACCTGGGCGCCTGACTCTTTCTGCTGTCTTTCCTCTGCTACTTCTTGGCTCCTTCTTACTTCAGCCACGCCCCTGATCTTCGGGTAAGTAAGATCTAACCCCTAGCCTTCTCGGATAAGGGCTAAAAAATCTCGGAGGTTCCTTGTGCAAGTTGCGCACATTAAATATCCCTTGGGTGCCGTAAAACTCTTACCAAAAACACAAAAAAACAGAAAAAAGAAAGAAAAGATGTACACGTAGATCTAGATGGAACAAACTGGGGTAAAGGAACTGTACTACGACAACCGCTAACATTAAAACAATCTGATGTCGAACGTCTATGTACGACGTCAGTTGCGGATACCCTGGTTCGAATCCCTACAAAGATGTTCCTGAACGTGGGTTGTTTGTTTTTAAAGCTCTCAACTTACATAATATCGCAGCCAAATCAGAGAAGGGCGGAGGCGGAATCAAACCCATACCATACATATATGTCACTGGACAGTTGCTAAGACAACCATTGGCCCTTTCGCCGCTTCATCCGAGACCGTCTCAAGCCTGACTGTATCAGCAAACTGTATTAGTTTTGTAAATGAGGCAACCCCAGGTCTTGTAACGTCGAATTGAGAATTCATACTGTCACAGCTGTATTAATTTTGCGGGGTATCAACAAATATATTATGATGTCTTCTTGTGAAGTTTCTCGGCTCTGATGCTTCGGCCGACACCCGGGGCAAAATTAAAATTTGATTCTTACCAAACTGAAAATGTTTAATGTGTCCTGAGCGCTCTCAATAATTATGACCTTATGCAGTTGCAAGAGCCGTAAAACACTTACCAAAACAGACAAACATCACCGGCATTTAAACAACATGGCGTGCAGCATACAGGCATGTCATTGACGCACACTCCCACCACAGGCGCCAAAACAATCTGAGAAAAGATGTAGGCGTAAAAGAAGAGGAAGAAGAAAAACCTGGTTTGGGAGGGGAAAAGTCATAAAGAGAACAAAAGGGGAGGGGGTCACTCAGTGTCTGGAGCACAGCATTCCGCTCAACCATTAACCATTGTGGGGGATTTGTCCCTGTTAAATGGGAGGAATAAGACTTTAGTTTTAGTGTGCCCAAGTCGTTAGGAGGGCTGAGAAGGACTAGAGTAGTGTGGTGTTGTACTTAGAGGACACACACGTGGATTTACACAGAGGAAGGTTTGTGTTCAAATTCTTTTCTTAGTGCAGGTAACGTTTTAGCTTTAATAAATCTTGATAATCCGTGTTTGAATATCTATCTATCTATCTATCTATCTATCTATCTATCTATCTATCTATCTATCTATCTATCTATCTATCTATCTC